CCATGATCGTCCGTGCGTCCAGCCGTCCGTCCATGCGTCCGTCCGTCAACAGTTGGGCACAAATCTTAACCGCTTGACGTACGGTCACGATATTCGGGACGTTGGGGGGGATCGTCAAAACGAGTTGGGATGTTGAAGCTGGGGGGTCAAAGGTCAAAGGTCGAGAGGTGTAAAAGAAGGGGAACATTCCCTCCTTAACTTAAGGTATAGGGAGGAAATGCAGAATTGCGGCACAAATCTAAACGGCTCGACCTAGGCTCGTGATAGTCGGTGTATAGCATCATGGTAGGAAAAGCCATCACTGTGCCGAAATTGGAGGTCACAGGTCAAAGGTCAAGGGGGTACAGGGTAGATTTTAGACATTTTCTGAGGACATGGTCTGACGGAGCGATTGAAAAACTTTTTTGTTTCAGCGGTGACCTAGCATTTTTATGGTTTTATTGAAAGTACCATGAAATGTACTTTCTGCTGACATGCGAAGAGTAAGTGTCGGATAACCTTTTGACCCTCAAGAGGAGGGTTAAACATTGATTTGTTTCTCAACTGCGTTGGCGAGTACCTGTGGTTGTGGAAAGCTCCCATTTTACAGTGAAATTCCACACATAGCTCTTACTTGAACAACGCTTACTTAGGAGATAATGAGATGACTTATATATGAGATTCTGTAGTGTACATTATGAATAGTTGGAATACAGTCACTAGCACCTCACTCCTGGGTAATTATTTGAGTTTTACACCTCTTGACCTTTGACCTTTGACCCCCAGCTTCGACATCCCAACTCGTTTTGACGATCCCCCCAATGTGCCGAATATCGTGACCGTACGTCGAGCGGTTAAGATTTGTGCCCAACTGTTGACGCACGGACGGACGCACGGCCGGACGCACGGACGCACGCTCATGCGATTCTACAAGCTGCATCTGACTATGTCAGATGAGCCAAAAATAAGCCTTAATTACCAGTGATACAAGATTATGGCCAAGATACGAGAAATGGTGACAAACATTTATCAGCCTTCTGTTAAAATAAATGAAGTAAGTACTCATAGCAGTACTCTTCTTGCGGCTTACTAGGACATAGCTCATTTTCCCATGTCTGTTACAACATCATATATATGTTGGCTGAGTGTGCATTGAAAGAGGTATAATAGTACAATTATTTCATAGACATAGTGATTTCAGAAAGATATAGTAGTGTTCCTGGGAGTCACATCATACAGTCAGGTACAGTTCCATACCATCTTCAAAGTACTCATCTGGCAGGTCCGCCATTCCCAGGTTCGGATCAATCTCCTAGGAATAGTAAGTAATGTGTGCTTTGAGTGCGACAAGTTTAGATGAGCAGATTATTTGTCTGGCGATGCCACCTGATTAGCAATAAAAGTGCAGGGAGCCAGGGACAAATAATTTCTGACGCTTCAATCCTGCATTAAATGTGAACTTTTTAGAACTGATCCTAAAATGTTTTTTAATTAGCATAAAAATGCAGTATCTGTAAAAAATTCCCAGTGAAACATTCTTCGCATGGTTTTATGAACCACAAGTAATAAGCTGCATAGATATTTTTCATAACAAAAGCAAGATTATAAACAACACGAAGTCTACAATCAATACAAATGAAGTCCAATACTAATTATTTCTTACCATTGCATATAAGTTTGTAAAGCCGACGACTCTTGTTGGAACTTTGCTGAACTTCTGGTCAAAAGCATCAGAGATATTGTGAGCTGGGTCAGTCGAAATTACCAAGACTGTCTCCCTGACTCTGGCTAGCTGTACTGCAAGGCTGCAACTAAAGAACAAGCCATACGTTTTCGTATTACCTTTTTAAATGCTGCAGTTTGGATACTTGTGTAAAACGATCAGGTTCCTGATATTACTCGGGTAAAAGGTGATGGATTATGTGATAAATGAAATATTGCTGTCTTAGATTTTTTTAGCATAGAAACTTATATATGAAACAACTTTACTGTTAACATGTGGTGTTGTTAAACACAGAAATGTAATAGCTCAGCACATCACAGTTTGCCATACAGGATGCATGTTGTGGAGGTAATATTGGAGTGGATAGTGGACCTCTATATTCTTCCCCTTTTGTCCCCAACACTCCTCTAATCACTCTCCACTAAAAAACTGTCTACTTAAAGTTATTCCTTTTCTCCAGAAGCAGCTGCTTATTTATTATCTGGAAATCTTTATTGGTGCTATTAAATTGTTTGGCTAATGAACGTAGTCATGTATGCGATGTGATTCCTGTGCAGACCAACCTGGCTTGGCTTGAAGTTACAAGGCAAGGCTCGTGTCGTAGCTCGCAAACGGAAATTAATCCAGAATGCAATGCGCCATCATTACTCATGTATAAACTGGCAGTTGCACCGGTTCACAAAACTGCAGAGAGCGATATGACTGCAGGATTGTAAAAGATTTCCCTGGGTAAATTGGGCATAAAGTTGTGCCTAAGTGCAAGGGTGGAAATTCAGACAGGTGTGAGCAGTTCGCTATGCACAGATAGCGATATGGAGGCGAACGCTTGTGTATTTGTGCTGTGAGTGTAATAGTAATAGTATGAAACAAAGTGAGCGTTGTCCGACCCTGGCACGTCCCGTTTGGCACTCGTGCTTTCCCACCTGCTCTATCTTTCTATTCTGTGTTTGTGTACACAGTACAGTGCCAGTGGCATGCGTGCAGCTAGATTTTGATGCAAAGTAGCATTTTAACGGCATTTATATGAAATTATAAGGCGATAGAGAATACAACATTAAGAATGGTTTGCAAATATAATTCCTGTATTTACCAGTGACGGCTGTGACTGGTCTGAAGTGAATACACAAAGGCACTTCGAACGTCTCAATAAAACAAGTGCCGCATAGCGACAGGGCTCATCTGGTGTCTGGTGTTCTGTTGATAAATTCATTTGTGCATAGCAAGACGTCCTAGACGTTCATTTCTAACCCAAAAAAACAACACTTCAAACTAGTGTAATAAAATTCCGATAGATGGCGGGCCGCTATCAAAGGCATCGTTGCATCGGTCAGCAAAAGCATTGTAGCAATGGCAGCTGTCAGTGTGACGACGAATTGCAAAAAAGCAGGAGCGAATAATTACCATATTATTACTATACATAACGTGCATTCTATGGTGTCAGGTAATAAGGTACATTAAACCCCTTGCGAGGCACATCTGGCTCGTTAAAAATAGCTCAATGGTTGATACAACCAGAGGCAGAGCAGCTCGTGCAAGATTACAATTTACAGCAATACGATAGCAAATATCTCTAAACTAATTTCAGTACAAGGTAGGCCA